GAGGGGGAAAAAACCCTCCCCAAACGCCTTTTCTGTGCGGTGTATATGTTCTTCTCGTGTACTGCTGCTGCTGCTGCATCGACCTTGATCAATCTATGTGTGGATATGCACAGCATGTCACGCCCTCTCGCTGTTTCGCTCTTTTGCCTTCTGCTTTGTTCTCATCCCCGAGGTACATGGCACTTAAACAAACAAGTACGTATCACAAAGTAAGAAGAGAAAAATGGAGAGTTCCCCAAATGGATTGTCTCGCATGCCTTTTCGCTTGGGTGGCTTGATTCACCACTCCAAGTACTGGACTCCGATTAAATTCTCAGAATTACCCCATCTTCCTTGTACCTGGATTAGTATCTTCTCATACAGACATAGGTGCTGGAAATATTTGAGTTTGACAGCCCGAGTGGATGGACTCCAGGTAATTGGAGGAGCCCGTAGTGTTGCTCAGAACCTACAAAGGCGTATAACCGGAGCCGGTGTCTCGTATCTCCGCTTTCGTATAGTCGGGTCACCTGTGGTATTACATAAGCAACATCCACGTTCGGATTATTTCTCGTAACGATTGCGAATTACGTCATCTTCTTCTCAATACTGTGCACATTCAAAAAGAATCATTTGAACAAAAACAAGATACAGACGAGGCGTTTGTCATGCAATGTCATGAAAATATGACTTATTGACAGTTATCTATCAATCAAAGATTGCCACGTCTAGTGGAGCTCTTCATCTGTACCCGAAATGAGGGCTTCCAGATCCGCCCTACTCATGCTGGGCCCATGCTTAATCCATAATAGTACAATTCGCTTTGTGCTTTTTCGTCCCTGAAAGTCATCGGATATCAACGATGAAAGTGCATCAGGCCTAAACTGCTGGTTTATCCGAGACCTTGGTTGGGTCTAACCGTAAACGCCGAAAGATGCTAACCGTAATGCTATACGTAAAATCCAAATCTCATGGGTGCAATGTCGCTGCTAGCCCCCCTTCCTAAACGCCAATGGCCATGCGTTATAGTGGCAAAATAAAACCGAGAAAATTAAGTAACATGAAGATGCAGAAGACAAAAGAAGCTGGCAGTGCTGCTGCCAGAACGGTCATGTTTTTAGATCCGAAGCCGCAGGTATCCTACACCCTAAGCTGGATAGTGCGAAGGCGGAGCCTGAGACATGGATAAAGGTGTTGGCCGCCCGCCGCCGACACTTGGGAGGAATTCGGGGACGATTCCGGTTCGTACGTTGCGTCGACCAAGTGGTTGGTAGTGCATCTGAGCTGAGCCCAAGTGGTACTCGGAGAGAGGAATCGATGGCGGTGGGTAGTTAAGCGTGTTGACTGGCCGGACAGGCTTGTAGGGACTGTTTCTCTGCTGCAGGTATGCCAATGGAGAGTTCGAAATTGGTGTATGCGTTGCGGCAAATGACTCCACTAGTGGTGAAGAATTGTAAACGGCCAAGCTGCCTGGGCTGTGACGCTTGGTGGGTGTGCCAAAGTGTACAGGAGCCGTGAACGCTGGTGTCTGTGGACCACAGGTCGCCAGAATTGGACCTTGTGAGGCCCACGTAGTGGCATGTGGATATACGGTCGACATTGCTCGCATGCCTGTGCCAATGGGTGGCAGTGACACAGGAGCCTGGGCCTGCGGGTAATTCGGGGTGGCCTGATAAGGTACAGATGGTGGAATAACCTGGCTTGTGTCCAACGTAAGATGAGGTACAGAAAGTCTGCCAGATTCAGGAGCGCCGCTGAGCTGTCGGGAGGCGGGAACGCTGGTCGTCGGAGTCGGTCTCGTGTTTCGCTTGGGCGCGGGTTCCGCCACCTCTGCGTTCTCCAGGCTTCGCTTCCTGCCATTGGTTGGGAATCCGAGGGTTGGTTTGGCTGCTAGTGGAGACATTGCAGGCGTAGACTGGTATGACCAGTTCGGGGTCGGGTTCGTGTTGTACACGGCGGCGTTGGGTGAGTAGGCTGCCAGTGTGGCCGGACTGGGCTGCATGCTCGATGGGAGCATGGTAGTCGGCGACGGTAAGGGAGAGCTGAAGCCACGGTGACTGGGTGACATGTTAAGTTGGGCCGCCTCTGCGCGCTGTCTTTGGGCCATGGCCGCCTTTTCGGTTTGTTCGGCCCTCTCGCAGTACTCGTGGAAGCAGGCCAGCTTCTTGAGCCAGTCCTCCCATTGCTCCTTGGATACAAGAAGCCCATATCTCATGTTACTCAGAAACTCGACTTCCATCACATGGATCTCCTTGACGGCAATGCCAGATACTTCTGCCCACGTCTTATTCGTGTATGTGTTGTCGTCCAAGACTAGTTTGGTCAGCAAAGCACGACGGGAACACACGGAAAATTAGCTTACACTTGTTTCCCAGCATCAAAGCCACGGTGAGGAGTCTGTATTCGCTACCCTGACTGCCATTCACCTTTGCGTTTCGGCTCTTCAATCTGTACACGAAGAGCAGAGCCAGCAGAATCACGTTCTGGGTGACTTGAGTCGTAGTTAATATGCTGTTTACCCATTTTTTGTAGTTGATTCCCGGGCGTGTGAGCGATGACAAGGCGGGCACCGGCGAATTCAATGGACGCTCCTTGATTTTCTCGGCGCTATGGATAACATCCATGTTCTCGAACCAGAAAAAGCATGTCATCTGCAAGATATGAGTTAGCGTCCACCAACCAATCAATTATGTGGAATTTGTATATCCAATCTTCATGTCCACCTACCAAAGAGGCAAAATCATCCAGATTTCCACCATTTGGTGATATACAGCTGGGCAGTCTGAGACTGTGCATAACCAAGGTCGACTCCCTTCGTGATATTGTGCCCTCGAATTGCGAACGTGCCGAAGTCGCAGTGACAGTCGAAGAAGGCGTCGAGTTTCGGGTCGAATGCCGTGAGCTGTCAGTGAAAGAAAGTGACGTTACAGAGTTGACATTTGAGGAATAGTGGGGTTGTTGCGAGTGCGATTGGTACTCTGGCTGAAGCTGTTGCATCTGCGATTGTTGCTGAGGTTGGCTCCGGGTGATTTGGGCAACGGCATCATTCAGACCAGCAGCACCAGCCCGAGTTGTTTGGATCAACCCAGCAGGCTGTCTCGCCATGGCAACATGACTGTTGTAGGTCGAGGAAAGCGCCGGGTTGTGTGGGTGATATGCGGTACTCATGCTGGTCTCTGCTGGAGGCGAGCGAAGACCACCTGCCAACAGGGAAGGATACTGCTGTTTCACACTCAGGAATGGCACCTTCCGTGGCGGATGCTGATGGTCTCTGCAAGAAGCGGGTGAAGGAAGATGCGGAAATAATGTCGGCCGGGCGGTCGAAAAAATGGTTGACGACATGAGTGGTTAAAAAAAAACAAGGAATGGTGAGGTTGTTCGTGGTAGTTGTAATCAAGCCGCAAGTGTTTATGACGGTACCACCTGCAAAGGCTGCTTGGATGTAGAAACCAAACTGCACAGGGGACAAGGAAAGGTTTGACGGAGGGGTATGGTGAAGCTCTCGCCAAAATTCTGATCCATTCGTTTGACTAGAGTTGAGTCGATCCACCCATTACACACAGTCGGGGTTTACTCGCAAGTGTGGAAAGAGCAGTGGAAGTCGCTGGTGGTGGTTGTAGTGGTGGTGTTGGTGTTGTAGTAGTCGAACGATACTGGCAAATTGAAAGTCATCTGTGAGCCATATCGGGTCAAAAAAGACAGCCAGGAACAACGAACTGTTCTTCCCTGTTCGTTTGACAGTACAGCTGCTGAGTAGGGATGAAGTCTTCTTTTGTTGTTTTTTTTTGTTGTTGGGTGTGGTGGTTGTCCAGGTGTTGCTGGTTTACGGTTTCCCGGGCCAGATGTATGTATGTATCGACAATCGGTAGGTCGGTATCGAGGGTCTGGTTGCTGACTGACAAGCAGGGGGAGAAAAGGTGACAGAATAGAGATAATATATGAGAAGTGTTTTTGTTCCCTCTCGTCGAATGTTTTCCCCCAAGGCAGATGATGATCAAGAAGAGACAAGTATTGTAATTTTTTTTAATTTTCTTCTTCCTTTCCAGATTTCCTCCCCCTTCCAAGTTCCTGGGGTTTCTGGAGCTACTGAGCTGAAGGCGGAGATTCAATTGGGAATTTGGGCACTTTCCGAATGATATACAATCAAGCCATTGCTAAGTTACGTATTGTTCTAGGTATCGACCGGATTGAGACTGGTGGTTGAATGACCCTGTCTGGCCGCTGGGCGAGAGTAGCGCAGGTCTAGCCTGAGACGGCCTAGTGCAATTCTGCTAAGTAGACTTTTTAGTGGGTGCTGGGCTGGGGCCTGCCTGCTCTTGCTTGCCTGCTTGCTAGGTGGGTGAGGTAAGAAGCAGGCGGAGGGACCATGTAGTTGCGGTGGATCACACAGGTAGAAAGGTACAAGCAGCAGCAAGTAAAGGTCAGAATGAGTAAAACTGAGATCAATAGGTGGGCGTGGGCACGGAGAAAGAACCGCACTACTACGGGTACCTAGATACATTGGATGCGCTACTGTACTCCGTACCCAGAGACTTTTTACTTCAAGGGAGTGTGGATGAAAGGGGAAAGGGGAGGAGAGGGGAGGGGGGTGGCTGTCCAAAAAGACGAACCCAGCAGGGGGTTCCACCAAAAACTCTCTGAGGTTTTTTTTTCTTAACCAAGAGAGAAAATGGATGAGGAGGAACAGGCTCACTCAGCAGCTGTGCGTGGGCTGTGTGGTCACCGTGATGGTGGCATACACCTTGTCTTGTCTTGTCTTGGTTAAAGACGAACTGAACCATGATTCGCTTGAGGAGACAAGAGACAAGGGGTGAAACTAGAAATGGCTGGCGTTTCCAATGCCCACTTTGGCACCCAGCCCAGCCTAGCAAGCTTGAGCCCAGCCAGCCAAACCAGCCAAAAAAAAAACCATGGGTACCGGCTATCACCTACACGACACTAGTACATACGTCTTGTACGTACATACTCGGCATCCGTCTTGTGCGAAACAACGAGACAGACACACGCAACGAAAGAAATAAAGAGACACGTATGGAAAGAAAGAAACAAGAACTGTACCCGGGGCAACTGACGAACTAATCGAACACTTGTGGCACGGAGTATGCGTCCGGTCAAATGAAAACGAAAGAAGGGGCCACCACAAGGGAAAAGAAGGGGTTTAAAAAAAAAAAAAAGACAGCATTTCCAATTGCAAGTACCTACTCCCCGCAGTGCACGCCTACTGGCTACGTACAATATAGTCACCATGTAGATATGTAATTGAATTGGAGGCAAAGTAGAGAGAGGTAAGCAGACAGAATTACAACGAAACGCGTATGTAAGAATACCGTAGCGTGTAGCTCTTTCTTGTCTCTCCCTTTTTTCTTCTTTCTCTCTCTCTCTCTCTCGGTTGTCTTGTTTTCATGCGTCCATTTCATTCGCTTGCGGGAGGCTAAAATACAATCATTACTGCTTGCAGCCTCTTTGCCGCCTGTTGCTGTTACCTTGCTTTTATTTTGCCCACCCTCCCCCATAACCTCTATTCAGTATTTCCACCGCAATTCATCCCTTCCTTCTTTGCTGGCTGCCGCTCGCCATTTGAGTCATAAGAAAAATAAATAAAAACGCTTCTTCTACATTACGGAAGGGCGGGCGGGCAGACTGGGACCAATACACACAAACAGTGGGGAAGGGAGTAGCAAACGACGATAGCATGACTCCAAGACTCTTGATAGGTCGGTTTCGGGCACAGCCAGTACTCCCAGGATGTGCTTGCGAGGTAGTAAACCGGATGGCCTTGCCCTTTCGCATATGTGGTGCCATGGCCCCCAGCCTGGAGCAGCGACCACATACTCCCTAGTCACCAGGTATTATTAATAAGTCGGGGCTCTTACACAGTACTGTGTAGTAATAGTCCATGGGAATAAACTAGTCGTACGTACTATGTAGTAGTAAAACCTCCTCCAATCCCTCTCCAGCCAATACATAGGTAGCCAGGAGCATCGGGGAGGGGGTAGGGAAATAAAAGGGAGGGGATTCCGTCTACAAAGGACGGAGCGGGTTTCTGCTGCCATACCCACGAAAGCTGGGCACCGTAAAGGCTAGCACGGCACCAATTATCTTACGGGTCAGGTCAGGGTTCATCAACTGCAAAGCGTCAAGTGCCTGTCTTCTGGTCCATCTGTCGTTCGCCCCAAAGGATATGTAGTAAGGAGCGGACAGAGACAGAGAGAGAATGTATGTGTGTTATGATTGTGTACATTCAATGTTCGAGAGAGAGACGGCGATCCATTGATTGTGAGACTTGAACACGCCCAACAAGGCACGGCATGCTCAGTAGGTACATGCATGCATACATACACACATACATTACCTACACCGTATGCTGGTACATTTGTGTCGTACTGGTTGCGTTTCTCGTCTGCAAAATTGGCAAGAAAAAAGCCAGTTCGGCCTGGGCTGTCTCTCCTCGCTTACCATTCGTTCCTAGTATCTGAAAGGCATGGACAGCATGTAATGGCATCGGTAGCGGCCCAGGACTTGTGCGACAAATGGCTTCACTACCCAGAAAACGTATTCGTACATCTCGACTCTTCTATATGCTCTTGCCAGTTTAGCTTGGCAAGAAGCTTCCGCCTGTGTGTATTGTGATGCCAGCTCCTTGTCGGGACCAATCATGACCAAGCCACCTACAATGATGAGGACAATAATGGATCCCTGTCGCTTAGCACTTGCTGCTTTCTGCCGTCCATGAGAAATGACGAAACTTTCTCCTGTTGCAGCAGCAGCAGCAGCAGCAGCAGCAACCGGCCTTGTCTTGTTTTCCGGCATGCCATTGCGAGATGCTCTTTTGCAAATGCCGCTCCTCGGCTGTGACAAGTTTGGAACACGATCAGCAAGCAGTAAGACCAGACGAGCCGGGTTTCTATTCGTGTAAGTGATTTGAATGGTAGGTGTGTGTGTGTGTGTGTGTGTGTGTGTGTGTGTGTGTGTACTGTATATAGATAGGTGTGTTGGGGAGAGAGATCCGTAGCCAAACTGTACAGGAACGTGTGGCCAACTTGCTTGCGTTGCGTTTACACTGTACAGTCCTTGTACGCTCGCCAATAGCAAGCAGTCTAGACTGCATGGAACCTCATCAATCGACCAGGCTCGTGGTTGGGATCAGCCAGCGTTCGGGTCATCATCCAATCCAGCTCTTGGTGTGTGGCTCATCGAATTGTCTGCAGGTCCAAGGATACAGTAATAAACGTTAGCTGTTAACCTAGCACGTCTCCCCGGGCAGTGTTTCCGCGAGCAACCTCCAATAATAAAACAAACCCTCCAAAGCACAAGCAAGGGCACATTCATCATCATCATCAGCATCATCATACCACAACCACTGCTGGGCTCTAGACAATCTCCTAGGGTTCACTACGAAGCATTTGCCTACCTTGACCCAACCTCCCTAGGCTGTCATTGTCATGGCGCAATAGATAGGCAAAAATCAACGGAGTCATTGTCCCACATGGCTGTGGAACGCAGCATTTCCATTGATGAATGAGCCCGCGCGGCTTTTTAGCAGTACAAAGGGCTTGAGGCAAAATGCGTCTGAGACTGTCATGTCCGGATGGCACGTACCAGGTTTTTTTTTTTAAACCCCCTCCCCCTCCCAACGACTAATGTATCCCTTGTGGCCCTAGTAATAATTACGAGCACCGGCACGAACAGATTTTGACCGCTTGCTATTATAACAAGCCGTGCAAATCCTCATTGTTCGAGATATGCGCCCGCATTCGCTTGTTAAATGCTTGCCCTGCCCTGCCTCGAACGCGTCGGGCTTGTCTCTCATTTTATCTCTAGCGCATAAAGTATAGGAAAATAAGACTGGGTCACAGGCATGAAAAAAAGGTCAAGAATGGCACTTTGCCGAGTCACGCGAACAAATGCAAATAATGTATACCTACCTGCCTCGGTGTGCACGGGTGGACAGGTGCAATTTCGGACAGCAAACTCTAGTTGACGCACATACTACTGCTTGCTAGATCCTCCGACCATAAAACGAACGATGACAGGAATCATTACTACAGTTGTTGTCCAATGAGGCCGGGCGGCCGCTCTGACTGACACTTGAAATATGTATATTGAGGACCCAGCTTTGGGGCTGCTGGCGATGAGCCTTGCTTCCTTTTCGGCTATGGTGTTCTGCC